TTACCTGAGTGAAAGTCATATTTTGTTTCATTTAGTAATTGAGAAAGACATAGGTCAAAATATTAATACTACTTTGAGTTTTGTCACAGATAACATTTCCAGATCTCAATTCCCTCCCTCCCTCCCTCCCTCCCTTCCTTCCTTCCTTTCTTCCTTCCCTTTTTCCTTCATGACTACCTCTCTCATTCCCTCCCTGTTTGCTTCCTTTCCTCCTTCTTCCCTTCCTTCCTCTCTTCCTTCTTCTCTCTCTCCTTCCTTTCCTTCCTTCCTTTCTTCCTTCTTTCTCAGCTTTATTACTTAAATGATTTAAGTCATTTCATCATCCTTTTCATCTGTGTCAATGAAAAACCAACACGATTGCCTAAAAAGGCAAAATAACAAGACAAAAATTCTGTAAGTCATCACCATTGGTTTTCATTCACCAGGTTTTCCATTCCACAGAGGACTGTAGTACATCGTCATCATATTCATAGCTGACTTTTGTTTAATTACTAGCATGTTTAAAGTGGAACCATGATTTAAAAGACTTTATTTTTTAGAGCACTTTTAGGTTTACAGCAAAATTAGAGGAAGATGGAGAGATTTCCCATATACCCGCTACCCCTCTACATGCATAACCTCCCCCATTATCAACATCTCCCGCTAGAATGATACGTTTGCTACAATTAATGAGCATACATTGACACATCATTATCACAGATCCACAGCTTACATTAGGGTTCTCTCTTGGTGTTGTGTATTTTATGAATTTGGACAGATTATAATGACATGGTAAGAAAAATTCATTTTAAACATGTAAATATATTTATTTTTCTATTGTTTATAATAACAAAGTTACCTTGCTTACTATCTTTCCAAGACTTTTGCACTTCCTGATAAAGATGAACAAAGGTCACAGATCAATGGTGTGTGCCTACTTTTCGTAGCAATGGGCTGTGTATCTCTTTTCACCCAATTTCTACAGGTAAGAAATGTTATTTTTCAGTAAGTGATTTAGTTATTTTTCCTTTTTTCTCATTAAAATGTCTCTAAAGTCTCTTTCTTCATGTTTTAGGGATATGCCTTCGCTAAATCTGGGGAGCTCCTAACAAAAAGACTACGTAAATTTGGTTTCAGGGCAATGTTGGGGCAAGACATTGGCTGGTTTGATGACCTCAGAAATAGCCCTGGAGCATTGACAACAAGACTTGCTACAGATGCTTCCCAAGTTCAAGGGGTAAGCTATGGGAGGGGAAGCAGAAATGTATTAACTGCATTGGCATTCTTTCGTTAGAGCATTCTGACATCACCTGCGTGTTTCCTATGGAATAGGGACTAGTGGGATGGGGATATCCTAAAGCCACATTTTCCACTGCTCCTAACACTGACAAACAGCAGCTAAAGCGCAGTGTCTCCCAGGCAGTGCCCAGAATCAGTGTGTGGCATGCACCAAAATCTGTCAGGGTTTTGGATTTCCTCTGAGTCTAGCTTTCCTGAGACTCATTTCCGAGATTGTTTTCAGGCCCAGAGGCTCAGCTTCAACAAGATTCAATACCACCCCCGAGAGGGTGGGGGAACAGGGCAAAAGTCTCCTTACTCACACAGGACCCCAGAGTGTGGTTTAGCCCTATGAACAGAGAAGCTGTCCTGGGCAGCCTCAGCAGGAGCGCAGTCAGGAAACTGAGGGAAAGAAATGATTTTTATCTAGAATCTTGAAGGTATCAAAGAGCTGACTTTCTGATTAAGGTAGGCAGAGCTGTGGTGTGTAAACCCCAAAACCCACAGCCTTGTTCAAAGGGCTTACACACATGATGAGGCTAGACTTTTATAAAACCAGGTGTTTGGATTAAAGTGAAGAGAGCCAAATTTCCCTTCCAACATCTCTACCCACTTTCTATGAAATTTTTTTTTTAAACCCGGAACTTAAAATTATTTTTAAAAAAGAAATAATATGTTAATAAATTTTTTTAAAAACAAAAACAAAGGAAAAAAATTTTTAAGTACAATTTTAAAACTGAACTATGGTCTGTGAGGCTCTTGGAAGAAAAAAACTCACTGGATTGATAGTACTGTAGCATGTCTCAACTCCTAGACAGTTTAACCAAAAATACCAAAAGTTATATGGGACAATTTCAGTGGATCGTGGAATCCTTTTACTCAGGGGGAAATCCCTATAAATAGTTCACTTTCAATTCATCTAGGCTTTTTCTGTAAGCACATGTGTTTCCCATAGACTTAGGGTTACACTCTACATATGTGTTGCAGTCTTTCTTTCTTCCTGTAAAATAATCTAAGGTGAACATGTTTTCGTCATTATTCTTCTACAATAGATTTTAATTAATGCACAATACTTCATTTTCATCTACTGTCATGTCTTAAAGGATTCTCTAGTTACGTTTTTGCCCCAGGTTTTTTCCTCCTTATAAGCAATTTATGTCATTTTACATTGAGCTTGCCACATCCTTGATTATTTTCTTAGTTCTCAAAATATAATCACTGAATCGATGTATAATCATTTTGGAAGATTTTGATATGTATTGCATAACTGCTTAAAGAAGGTTTGTTCCAATTTCACTCTCATCATTGGAGTATTGTAGTCTACTCCCCTTACTCTTAAATTTAGGCTAAATAAATAAGTCATAATCTTATCACTTCTATTTTCGTGTCCTTCAATCTGCAAGGAACTTTTGAAGGTTATTTACTATCACTAGAATTCAGAGAATAGCATCTAATTATCTTACAAACACTTATCTTTTTAAAAAGAGGATTTTCTCAGAATTTTTCTAATACTTTTGTTGTTTTTTAAAAAATAAGATTGCTAGCCCAGGTCAAATTTATCTTAAGATTGGTGTGAGGTAGATTTGGCTTTGTTTTCTTGAAGCTGGATAGAAAATATTCCAAAAATATTTTTTAAATATAGATTACGTTTTCCACTGGTTTGAAATGTTTCCTCCAATTGTGAATATTAACTTTCCATATATACTTAGAACTATTTGGAGATACTCTAGTCTGAATTGATCAATTTGACTTATTCTATTTAAAAACTTATTGTTTTAATTCATAATTTTTTTTGAATTTTTGTAGATAGATACCAAGTAGGTATATATATTTATGGGGTACCTGAGAGGTTTTGATACAAGCATGCAACATGAAACAAGTGATTATGAAGAATGGGGTATCCATTCCCTCAAGCACTTATCCTTTGTGTTACAAACAATGCAATTACACTCTTAGTTATTTTTAAATGTATAATTAAGTTATTTACTATAGTCATTCTATTGTGCTATCAAATAGTATGTCTTATTCATTATTTCTTTTTTTTTGTACTCATTGTTTTAATTCTTATAACTTGATACATTTTAGTATCTGGTAAGGCAAATCCCTGCACAATAATTTTTCCTCTTCAAAATTCTCTTATCTATTCCTGGATGTTAATTATTTTAATGTACTTTACACTCATTTTAATTTCTTCTTAAAAATTTGTTTTTATTCTGGTCAAATTCATATACACACATACATACACAATAGGATTGCTATTGTGGGAGTACTAAATTTTCCTGAGAGACATACAAATAAGACTTTAGTTTTTACCAAGATTCATAGTTACATTAATATGTCCCACTATCTTACTCACTTTTTCTCATGTATTTTTTCCACTATTTTGAATGAGACGTTTTTCTCAATTATATCTGTAAATGAGTTGAGATGAAAGCTATTAGTTTTTGTATACTTACCTTAAGGACTTTCCATGCTCTCTTGTAAGTTTTAATTTTAGAAATTTAATATAGTCTACTGGGTTTTCTAGATATATAATAAAATGCCAGATATAGTTCTGAGATATTACAGGTTTGGTTTCAGACCACCACAATAAAGAGAATATTGCAATAAAGCATGTCACACTAATTTTTTGGCTTCCTAGTGCATATAAAAGTTGTGTTTTACACTATACCATATTCTACTAACTATGCAATAGCATTATGTCTAAAAATAAACAATGTACATATCTTAATTTATTAACAGCAACTGACTGATCATGGTGGTGGTTGCTGAAGGTTAGAGTGGCAATATCTTATAAGACAACTGTGAAGTTTGTCTCATCAATTGACTCTTCCTTTCATGAAAGATTTATCTGTAGCATGTAATGCTGATTGATAGTATTTTACCCACAGTAGAATGTCTTTCAAAATTGGATTGAGTTCTCTTAAACCCTGCTGCTACTTTATCAACTAAGTTTATGTAATATTCTAACTCCTTTATAATCATTTCAATAATGTTCATAGCATTTTCACCAGGAGTGGATTTCATCTCAAGAAACCACTTTGCTCATCCATAAGAAGCAACTGCTTATCCATTCAAATTTTATCGTGAGATTGCAGCAATGTAATGCAGCACATCTTCAGACTCCACGTCTAATTCTAGTTATCTTGCTATTTTCATGACATCTGCAGTTACTCCCTCTGAAGTTTTGAACCCTCAAAGTCATCCGTGAGGGTTGGAATCAACTTCTTTCAAGCACCTATTTATGTGGATATTCTGACCTCCTCCCATGAATCACAAATGTGTTTAATGGCATCTAGAATGGTGAATCCTTTCTAGAAGGTTTTCAATTTACTTTGCCCAGTTCCCTCAGAGGAATCACTATGGCAGATGTAGCCTTGTAAAATGTTACTTCTTAAATAAAAAGTCTTCAAAGTGAAAATTACTCACTGACCCATGGGCTGCAGAATTCATGTTGGGTTAACAGGCATAACAACATTCATCTCCTTGTACATCTGCATCAGAGCACTTGGGTGACTGGGTGCATTGTCAATGAGCACTAATATTTTTGAAAGCTATATATTTTCCTGAGCAGTAGTTGTCAACAATAGCTTAAAATATTCAAAAAACTGTGTTTTCAACAGATGTGCTGTCATCCAGCCTTTATTATTCTATTTATAAAGCATAGGCAGAGTAGATTTAGCATACCTCTTAGGGGCCTAGAATTTTTGGAATGGTAAGTTTCAACTTAAAGTCATCATCTGCATTAACCCCTAACAAGAGAGTCAGCCTGTTTTTTGTAAGTTTGAAGTCAGGCATTGACTTTTCCTTTCTAGATACGAATGTCCTAGATGGCATCTTCCTCCAATAGAAAGCTGTTTTATCAACATGGAAAATCTGTTATTTGGTATTGCCACCTTCATCAATGACCTTAGCTAGATCTTCTGGAGAACTTGTGGCAGCTTCTACATTAGCACTGCTGCTTCACCTTGCACTTTTACATCGTAGAGATGCTTTTTTCCTTAAACCTCATGAACCAACTTTTGTCCCGAAGGTTCCTCACTTCTCTCAGCCTTACTAAAATTGAAGAGAGTTAGGACCTTGTTCTGAATTAGGTTTGGCTTAAGGGAATGTTGTAGTGGGTTTGATCTTGTCTCCAAACCACTCAAACTTTCTTCATGTCAGCAATAAATCTGGTTCACTTCACTTGCTTATTATTTGTGTGTTCGCTGGAATAGCACTTTTAATTTCCTTCAAGAACTTTTTTTTTTTTTTTTTTTTTTTTTTGCATTCACAGCTTGACTACCTGTTCAGCGCATGAGGCCTAACTTTTAGCCTGTCTCAGCCTTCGACACACCTTCATCACTGAGCTTAGTCATTTCTAGCTTTTGATTTAAAGTGAGAGATGTGTGGCTCTTTATTTCACTTGAACACTTAGAGGCCAAGGTAGTGTTATTAATTGGCCTAATTTCAATATTATTGTGTCTCAGATAATAGGGAGGTCTGAGGAGAGAGAGAGAGAGAGAAAGAGAGAGAGAGAGAGAGAGAGAGACAGAGAGACAGAGAATGGCCAGTCAGTGGAGCAGTCAGAACAAACACATTTATTGAATAAGTTTTCAGTCTTATTTGGGCGTGGTTCATGGTGTGCTCTAACACGAATACAACGATAATGCCAAAGATCACTGATTACAGGTCGCCATAACAGATATGATAATGAAAAAGTTTGAATATTGTGAGAATTACCAAAATGTGATGCAGAAACATAAAGCGAGCACATACCATTGGAAAAACGGCACCAATAGAATTGCTCTGCATATGCAGGGTTGCCACGAGCCTTCAATTAGTAAAAGTCACAATAACCGCAAAGCAAAAAATGCAAAAAAGATCATTTTATCTCTTTTTTCTTTTTTCATGTTTATACTCATATTATTTTATTTTCTTATTATATTAGCTAGAGCTCATTGAGAAATAAGAGTGGTAGTAGAGGGGATTCTCTCAAGCAAGACAAAAACTCAAAACTACAAAGTAGACATGTTGGACTTCATAAACTCAAAACTTTTATATAAACAAATGATAAACTAGAAAAACATTTATAATGAATAGTAATATCCCTCATATAACCATATTATGTGTAGTGTTCCTGAAACCATCATGAATAATACTCATGAGGATGGGGAATAACTGACACTCTCATACAATGTACAAAGTTTTTCAATGTTTTTTGGAGAGTAATAACAAATAATAGTAAGCAAATGTTTTGGAGAATAATAGTAAATAATGATATCCCCCCAAAAAACTTTAGAGTTGCTTTTCAAGTATTCTGTAATGCCTGACAGTCCTTGCCAACCAGAAATTCTTTTTTTTTTTAATTATATACTCTTTGACCAGAATTCTCGTGAGTGAATTCCCTCCTATTGTGTAAGCATGTGTGTTCAAGGACATTTGTCATTTTTTATATTAACCAAAAAATTAATAAAATTCCCTGGAAACTACCCAAATATCCACTAACAGGAAAATAGCTGAATCGATTATGATACATTTATTCTAAGGAATATTACACAGCTATTTTTTAAAGTGTTCCTGTATATTGATCTGGAAGGATAGTTAAGTAACATCGATAAGTGAAAAAAAGTCAAAGTACAAAGTAATATGTAGAGTATGAGTCCTTTTTGTAAAGAAAAAAATAAATATATATGTATATATTGTTAAATATGTATGTTTTGTTTGTGTCTTAGGCTGTATTATTTTTAATTTTTTAAAAAATACCAATTGAATAAAATGTAAAAGGAAGCAAGGACATCCCAAAGAACTGCAA